CGATCGGCGGGCTATGGAGCCGCTGATCGTCTATATGTGAAACACCCAGTAACGGGTGTTTGCATTGGTCGGGTCTTTTCTGCCCGTGCGTGCCCGCTAGGGGGCGCGCACGAGCAGAAAAAAAATGCCGTCTGGCAACCCGCCAATGCTGCAGTGCCGTCCGTCCGTTTTTTTACAACGGGCGGACGGCAAGTGGTTAAGCAACAATTCCATAAGTTTAATTTAAACATTAACAGCGCTGAGGAACCACAGGTGGCAGCAATATAGTCACATGAAAGGTACCAAAAGAGTTAAGGCACAAGATTCAAGTGTGGCTCAGGGTTAATTTTCAGTACCAAAAGCGGTAACCCAGAGCCACACTCGGGATAGCACAAAAGTGTCACTTACCTTGTCCCTGCGAGCCCGCGGTGTCCTCTGTGTGCGCCCGGGTGATGCCGGCATTTGGCTTTCAGTTTCGTTTTCGGGCGTCACAGCAGGGGACGGAGCCGGCGCGAAATTCAAAAGTGCAAACATGACATTTACACAGAATAAAATGTAATTTGCTATAATTACATATATGTATCAAACTATTTCACTTCAATTTTGTCCCTAGAGCTTTGTCCAGTGCACTGGCTACACTTTTACTGTTCTTTCTGCCGGGAAACTTGAGAACGTCCATGGCATCCAAAAAGCATCCCTTTAGGTCAAAAGCGGTTTTAGACCAGATAGAAAACAGCGATAGTAAATTAGAATCACTTGCAGAATTGAGTGATAGCGATTCGTTGGGAAATTCGTCATCAGACACTAAAAGTGACGACAGCGACGATTCTGCAACGGAGCTCAGTGATGTGCGAACTTGGTACTCTATTGACTGTGGTACGGATCAGGCAGCGCCCTCAGAATTCCCATTTACTGGACCATTTTTTTATTATTATATTATAATTTCTTATAATTATTTATTATATTATAATTTCTTATAATTCTTTATTATATTATAATTTATGATTTCGTGTTTCAAACTTTATCATACCCGGGATGTCTACTGGACTCTTGTTTGGACAGATTTAGGTGAGTTATTCCTATGATTTGCTAAGAATTACAGGCCTACAATATAAAACAACAAATTGCCATGAAAAACAATGTACCGCTTTGGCATGCTAAAATCCTGCATAATCATACCGCCAGGGAGGTTAAAGCACTACAAGCAAACCAATGGATTCT